CTTTATATAACCCTATTACGTCCAACTTTTAAGCCTTAAAGCACTGTTGAAATTCAGAAGCTAGACCAAAAAAAAAAAAAAAAAAAGAGGGAAAAAAAGAATCTCATGAAAAGGGAAGGGAGACCACTGAGGTATAGAAAACAGGAATCAGGGGGAAGGAAGGGTCAGGTACAAGGGTAAAGAGGAAACCAAATTGTGCTCCGGGCAGGTGAGAATGTACCACGAGGAAGCCTGTTACGCATGATTATAATTCCCAATAAAAACTTTATTTTTTAATAATGCTAAGATTCAACTACATCTATAAGCTGACTATTTCAGACACTCTGCACATGATCAGAATATAATTTATTTCTTCTATAATACCAGATGGATCTCAGAATCTTATAAGGCATCATCTTTGACCTCCAAAAGAAATTCTGCAAATGTACCCTAGCTTATTTTTGTTTTATTCATTTATTATTCCTTGTGGTGCCAAGGATTGAACCTAGTGCCTCACGCATGCTAGGCAAGCACTCTACCACTGAGCCATGACCTCAGCCCCCCCTTTTTTTTTTAGTATACTATTCAACACAAAACTAAATAGCTCATTATCAACACTCGTTACTATTACATATGGTATAATATGAAATCAAAACCCAAAATGTCAGGATATTTTTAAATAACTTTTTTAAGACAACAAAGTTGGGCCTTTATCCTCAAGAGCACGATACATAAAACTTTCAAGATACAGGAGTATTTTTCAGACTGCATGACATGATTCAATATAATCATGGTGAAGATAAAGGAAAAGAAGTTTAAAGAGCAAGTTAACAGCCCTGTACTAAGATAAGCCGATGGTTTTATTCCCACTGATTTCCACAAAAGGTTCAAGAAGAATTTAAAAAAAAAAAAAATTCAAGGTTTTTCCATGTATTTTTCCACTGGTGATGACTTTGTATTTTTATTAAGGAGGTGGGGATGGACCAGGCAGCTCTCAGCTGACACTACCTTTCACTAAAAAACTCACTTCCAACTCCTAACTCGGCAATGAGAGTAATATGAGCATGCTCCTGTGGTGCAAATACAATAGTATCTACCCCCATTTCCCCTCCCAGGACTGAAAGCCTTCTAATAAAGGGTCACATGTAAGGCTCTCAGGAAGGACAAAATCTCAAAAATGTTGGGCAGCAAAAATTACTCTGATAAAAGCTGTTACTATTGACAGATTTCCGTCTTTTGCACAAAGACAAGGTGGCTAACACAAGAAGTGAGGCTGTATAGGCAGACACACCTGTGTCCAGTGTCAGCTCAAGCATGCGCTAGCTGGGTGAAGTGGCACAGTCCACCATCTTCTCCAATCTCCATCTCACTCTAAAACTGAGGTACCTCATGCCAGTTATGTCAGCCGATTCCTGCAATACACAGTAATGCCCAACACACGCTGCCTTACAACCAAATCAATGCCCCTCCTAGGAATGTATACAAAAATCCTGTCCCCACTGAGAACTGCTCTGCCCAAGATAAGCATAACATGCCTTAAGCTTCTCAATTAGTTGCATTTTAAAAGCTGGAGTCTACTGCTTTCTCACTTTCCACAAAATTAACTTATCACTGTATTTTATCATAAAGGTAAACTCAACATATTAGTGTGAGACTGGGCGTGGTGGCACACACCTATAATCCCAGCAGCTCAGGAGGCTGAGGCAGGAGTATCCCGAGTTCAAAGCCAGCCTCAACAACAGCAAAGCACTAAGCAACTCGGCGAGACCCTATCTCTAAAATACAAAATAGGGCTGGGGATGTGGCTCAGTGGTCGAGTGCCCCCAGTACTATAAAAAAAAAAAAAAGTACAGGAGAGTACTCAAAAAAAATGATTAGTCTGAAATGTCAAGGTTGCCAACTCTTAAAGAATACTGACATAAGGAGGCAAAATCTGTCACTTTTTAAAAACTACATACACTCCTACTTTATGTGCAACAAGCATGATTTCTCTAAACACAAAAGGATTGCTCTAACATCCTTCAAATTCTGATGACTAGTGTGGTTCTTGGATGTTTTTCTTGTGCAGACTTTTCCATACAGATATCCCATTGACCTCAGTTAAAAAAATTTAATGGTACCTCAAGTTAAATGGTCTGAACTAAAGAACATGCTATATTAATCACTCAATTTTAGTAACTTCTATACCCAATAAACTAGAATTTACTTGTTTATGAAGAGAAATTTTCCTTAATTCAAAAACACAAGATGCTACATTCTCACTTGACATCATTGCAAAGTATTCAGAAGATACAGGTCATAAAAATGCCTTTAAGACAGTAGGTCCTGCTACCACACGGTACAATGGAAAAATAATTATGAGCCCGAGATTTACTAAAATAATTTCTAGATTTGACATGGAATCTGAGGCTTTTCCTTTGCCAAAAACCAAATAAACTTGTCTGCTAGAATCCACAGCTAGTTCATTTCACATCTCTACACCTCCTAGACCTGTGACATGTGACAGGTTCAGAGAACATTTACTGAATGAATGAACTATATACAACTTGTACAAAGAAACTATCAAGAATTTTAACAGCCAGCAATTTAAAATGATTGTTTTCTGGAATGAAGGGATTCCAAAATGAACAATTCTGACTTAGCTAAGCTTGTCCACAAATATTTCATATGCATTGCACACGTTATTCTCTTGTTTATGAGCTAGGGCCTCAGTGTCCTTGAGATGGACTTTTTCCCCCCACTAACCAAATACAAGTAGTATCATTCACAGCAGGTAACTAAAAACTACACCTAACACAGCTGTATCTACCACAGCCATATCCAAATGACAGTGATCCCTGAAGTAGTCACCTTGGAAGACTGAGCCTTTATTTCACTACTGGGTTAGGGACTGGTGACAAATTCTTTAAAGTAATGTTGTTCAACACATCACGTACCTCACTCACCAGATCTGGCCTCTGACCTGACTACTGTTAACACTAAATATACTCTCAAAATATGAAATTTGCCACCAATGACCACACCAAAAATAATTTGCCAGTATCTCCAAAGGAAAAATTCAAAAGCAATAACCAAAGCATTACAGGGAAAACAGTGGCACCCACAAAAGTGGTTTACTTGAAGAATACATTCCTGGAATGTGTGCATTCAGAGCATACTTCTTAAAAAAGCAATACTATCTGCAGGGGAAGTTTTACTACTTCTCATGATTCTAATTTAATCATGTTTCCATGCATCCACAATATCCTGAGTTTTAGGGACTAATATCATTTCTCCTCTAAGTTTCATTCTTTGAGATGAGAGGTAAGCAAGCACTGTTTTCTAATACTTAATCCAAAAGATATGAACCAGCTTTTTCTTCAAAACCAAAAAGTTCGAAAATAACAGCCAACTTCCCTGAGCCTTTATGAAGTTTTACTATGAATTATTCTCAACTCACAGTAAAAGCAACTTCAAGTAACTACCCACACAACTGTTCTTTGCAAAATAGTGCAAACATCTGTAACTGGCAATTGAGAGCTAATTTTGATTTAATTTTCTGTGTATTCTTTTCAATAATCTCTGTATACGTTATAAATAGGTACAAAATGTAGATTATGCATATCAATTACACATTTGCTATTTTAGGTCCACATTTTATTAACAAAGACAAATTATTAATTTCTATAAACTCTTACTACTCCATAATAATGAAACCAACACAGACATAGGTAATCCAGAACTCATTTATCTAAATAGCAGATCTACAGAGAGCTGTGGTGGAGCTCAATGCCTAGAATGAGCAAGTTCGAGTTCAATTCTAAGTTCCACCACAAAAAAAAAAATAAGATTTCATTCCAAGTTCCTAACAGAAGCGATCTGGTTTGTATTTCCTAGGCCTCGAGCACATGGACCAGTGGAGGAAGCAGTCCTGCAGTCTGTTACACATCAGCCACCTCAGAAGGAAAGACGGACTGTGAGCGTCTGCAGCAGGCACAGTCAACAGTATGATTATCACAAACAAGTGTAGATAATGCAAGTATGTAAGAGTAACATACTCATCAGCAAAAAAGGAAATTTTATATTCAAACAACTTTTTAAATATTCCCAAATAAAAAATCAAAATTATGTGTGCAAAGCAAAGATTAACATTCTTAAACATATGAGGACTGTTCTTTTATACAGAAGACAGCCATCATCAGACCAAACAAATGGACTAAATTTAAATCAAAATATATTAAGTCAACATGTGATATCTTTTTAATGTATTAGGAAATTATCTTAAAGGCTATTTTCTTAATAATAAAACCATACCATTGGAATGTGTTAAGGCATGCCCAGAGTAAAAACTACTAATGAATGCAATATTTTTTTTGTTTTTGTTTTTGTTTTTGGGGTTTTGTTGTTTTGTTTGGCAGTAATGGGGATTGAACCCAGCCCCCAGCCAGGCACACTCTACCACTGACCTACATCCCCAGATCTTTTTATTTTGTCCTAATCACAAGGAATCAGACAAACTCGGAACACTCTACTAAATAATAGGTCAGTTACCTTAGAAGTGTCAAGGTAATGAAAGAAGAGGAAAAACAAAAATGGAGAAACTGTCACAGATTCAAAAGACCAAGGAGACATGACAATAATGTAAGGTGGGACCTGAACTAGACCCTGGAACAGAAAAAGTAGTTAAAGGAAAAACTGGTAAGACTCTAAAAGGCTGTGCAGTTTAGAGAAGAGTACTGCACGAGTGTTAATGTCCTAGTTTATTAATTACATAACAGTTATGTAAGGTGGCAACACTAAGAGAAGGTGGGTGAAGGGCACACGGGAGCTCTCTGCAGCTTGCTACTTCTCAAATTCTAAACTTACTTCAAAATAAATGTATATATTTTAAAGTAACTTTAAAGATCCTTAGTTTTCTAGGTATAGTAGCTATCATTATTTTGCCTTAAAATCATTACGTTATGCGAAAATACCTGTCGATTGCTGCAACCAGACTCTTTGAAACCTGTAACAGACTTTTAATACATTACAGAACACATTACCTGTAATTTTATAGCCATAAGCAGCTAGCTGTCCAGCCATATATTCTCCATCTGAATTATTATGTGAGCAACCCCATGTTCGTATCCAAATTTTCTGTATGCCTGGAATAGTGCTGTTTTAAAAAAATAAATAAGCAGTCTCATTAAGTGTTTTTAAAAAAAGGCAATGGATGATTTCAGAGCATATTACACAAAAAAGCAAACTACAATTAATTCACTGGCTGTTCATTAAATGCACCAATTAAAAACCTGTTACAAGACGACTAATCAAGATAAACCAACCACAAAAGTTCAAGAATCTCTACGTTAAAATAAAAAAAAAAGTGTTTGAATTTTTTTTAATATCTTTTAGATGTTGATGGACCTTTTATTTTATTCATGTATTTATATGTGGTGCTAAGAGTCAAACCCAGGGCCTCACGCATGCTAGGCGAGCACTCTACCACTGAGCCACAACCCCAGCCCCTCTGATCTGTATCCTTTTTTTAATCATTATTTTTTAGTTGTAGGTGGACATACCTTCATTTTATTTTTATGTGGTGCTGAGGATCAAACCTAGTGGCTCACGCATGCTAGGCGAGTGCTCTACCTCTGAGCCACAACCCCAGCCCCCTGAATTGTGCTTTTAAATCCTACTACTGACCATACTACCATTAATTTAACTTCTAAAAAAATACACACAATAACAGCACAGAAACTGAATCTAGCAGCAATAGCAAATGAAATAATATATCTTTTCAGACTCCTACATATTAGCTGCAATCATTATCTATTTTAAAAATGAACAATTTAATCAAAATTAAAAACTGTCACCCTACACCATTATTAAAAGTATTCCATCTAGGTGTGCTGGCACACACCCATAATCCCCAGCGACTTGGAGGCTGAGGAGTACAGGTTCAAGGCCAGCCTGGACAATTTAAGAAAACCCTGTCTCAAAATTAAGAATAAAAAGGGACAGGGTAGAATGCAGCTCAGTGGTAGAATGCCCCAGGTTCAATCCCCCATAGTGCAGTTTTTAAAAAGTACTCCATCTATAAAAATAGAGTTTAAAATGTAATATTTTTAGAAAGGAAAAAAAGAACTTATGTTACTTTAATAATTTCAGGTAAAAAGAAACTACCTTAAGGATGTGTTCAGGACAAATATTATAAACTTCAGTCATAAAATAGAATTTATAAATTTAAAAATTGCTTAAAAGCTTAATGTTCCAGACAAAAATAATCAACTATATTAAAACTCTCTCAACAATACGCTGAACAATTATAGAGCTCCTTAAAATCTTAAAATTTGGCAATCCTTCTTGGCAATGTTGCATTAGAATCTTACTGACCACGGTCCCACCGTAACAGTGGAAATGGTAATAACTCTTGTGCCCAATGCCTTAAGCTGGTCTGTAAGTATTCACTATCAAAGATCCAAAAACACCTCATAAGAATCACAAATCTCAATAAAAATTTTAATTTACAAGTACCACAGAATTACATACCAATTGCAGTGAAAGAGGTTTCTATTGTTCTGGGCCCTGCCTTCCAAGAACATCCAACTGGACATCCTTTTCTTTAACCAGTCACCTTGCCTTGCCAAATTCAAAGCCACTGAAATGGGGGGTGGGGGTGGGGGGACCCTCATGTTTCTACCAAAAGTCCAAAGAGCCCAAAAAAGAAACCCTATGCAGATCACACAGACTAGTCCTGCCAGCATCTTGCCAGAAATTAAGCTGCACACATTTCCAGGAAAGCTTACCTGTCACTTGGCGGGCCGTTCTCTTCCGAGAACATCTGGGTATGGCGCCTTCGCACTTTCGGAACAACCTGCCTTCTTGAAGAATGTCTGTCTTGTGGCTTTGAATCTTCCTGGGACACAATGTCTTCTATGTCATCCAGCAGGGTATCACAGGATGCAGAAGGCATCTTTTCTATCACAAAGTCATAAACAGCACAAGCTTATGAAATCTACTTAACACGACATCACCTATAAAAAATTTTTCAGCAAACTAATCAAGCCTGTTAAGTCAATTTCAAGTTTAGAGAAAATGCAGGGGATCAACACAAGGAGACGATCAGAAGTCACACTGATAATGGGACATTCCAAGATTCAACAGAACTATTTCCTCAACAAAGCAACTCCATGGGGAAAAAAGTAAGGCAGGACATCTTCAAGATTAAAGGAAAGGAGCCAGGCATGGCGGTAAGTGCCCATAATCCCAGCAGCTCAGAAGGTGAGAAAGGAAGATCACAGAGCTCAAAGCCAGCCTCAACAAAATCGAGGGGCCAAGCAACTCAGCGAGACCGTCTCTAAATAAAACACAAAACAGAGCTGGGGATGTGGCTCAGTGGTCCAATGCTTGGTACCACCTCCCCCACCCCCACAACAAAAAAAGATAAAAGGAGATTTAAAAGATTTAAAAGCTGAAGACCTCCACCAGCTTAGGAAGGCGACCATTGTTGACAATAACTACCATGGCCTCCAGGGTTGGAAAAACTCAGTGGCCTTCAGGCCAAGCCTCGGCAGCTTCATGTTGTGTCCCTGGGGGTTGCCAGTCTCTATGGCGACTGTGGCTAAGACAGGCACATGCAGGTGTCTACAGAAATTATGACTGCATGAAAGGCGATGAGGAAGGCCACTGTCTTTCAAGGTGAAGAATGATTTTTAAATATAAAAAATTTCTTTGAATCGAGTTCCATGGAAGTTTCTCACTGACCTGGGTCAGCTAAGAAATCATTCCTCTAATTTTTTAAAAAAAGGTCTAACAACTAATGCAACTCATGTTCTTATTTTATCCAACTATGATAAACTTTGGGAACTAATTAAAAAATCAGAACATGAGCTAGATATTAGATGAGGATATTATTATAAATCATTATTGTTCTTATGTTCAAAACTATTTTCTCTTTAGTTATAGTTGGGTGCAATATCTTTATTTTACTTATTTTTATGCAGTGCTGAGGATCGAACCTAGGGTCTTGCACGTGCTAGGCAAGTGCTCTACCGCTGAGCCACAACCCCAGCCCTCAAACTATTTTTATTGATACATATTGAACACTTCAAGGTGAAATACCATGTTTATAATTTATTTTAAAACATCTCAGGAGGCGGCTGGGGTGGTGGCTCAGTGGTAGAGCACTTGCTTAGCACAGCAGAGGCACCAGGTTCAACCCTCAGAATCACGTAAAATTGTGTTGTATTGTGTCCATCTACAACTATATAATATATATATACTTCGGGCCGAAGCAGCCAGCAGTCCAGGATGCCCACAAGTGCAGACAACGCAGGTCCAACAAGTCGGCCTCCCATCAGGAACCAGAAGACGGGAAGCTTGGATAATCGCCGCTCTCCTCCCGCCTCAGCCCCACACACGCACTGTAGTCCCACCCGCAGGCAGTCATAGGGTCAAGTGGGGAGCCGACTTCCCCCCTACAAGATGCCCTGACAGGCCCCATGAGAGTAGAGTCACAGAAGGCCAGGCAGGGACCCCGACTTCCGAACCAACCAACCATGAGGCCCACAGTTGTCAGTGTAGACCAGACTGAAATGCGAGTCTGGAGCCCTTCACAGGGTCAGCGCAGCAGACAGCCCAGGAGGCACACGGCAGCACTAGTCTCCCTCTATGGTGAGCAAGTGGAAGCAGAGGGGCTAACCTGCCCACAGAAGACAAGGGCTCCCAATCTGGATGCGTCCACGCCCACCCACCACCTGCTGACCTGTTCTCAGCAGTGTCACTGGACCAGCATCCAGAGCCTGTGTTCTCAGGTGCCTCAAGCCTTCCTGATGAAGGTCCCTTCTCTTCACACCAGATTCCCATCTTTCCATTCATATCACTCAACTAACAGTGGCTTCCAGCCAGGCTCATTTTGTGCCCTTTGTAAAGTGTTCTTTACCACAAATTATGTGCTGCCCATCAGACAAACGAGTGTTTGAAACTCATCTAGTTTTATTGTTAGTAAGAAATAACCCAAATGTCCACCGTTAGGCCTGGATGTAATCGACATATATAATCCATGGTCAAAGTAGGACTGTCAATCCCAGCCCTCTCCTTCCCTAAAGCAAGGACAAAGCACAGGACCCAAGCCCCACTCTGACAGTCACCTGTCTCCTTGGCCACAGTGATCGGCTCAGGCTTGGTCAGGACAAGCCCAGCCAACCAGAAAGGACTGCAAGGTCTTCTGAGCCACAGCTAATAGAAAAGATGGCTTCTCTACTCCTTCAAGTGACTAAATGGGAAGGATGTCAACTCTAGGATCCCAGGGGCCATCTTGCCTGTCACAAGGAGGAAGCCTCGAGAAGGAACAAAACCAAATAGGAGCAAGGGAGAGAAACAGCCGTACTGATGCCATTTGAGCACCTGGACCCAACCAGTGCTTGAACCCTGGTGCAGCCCACTTCTGCCCAACCACGTGAGCCACTAAATTCCCTGGGGCTTAAATTAGTTTGAGTTGGGCTTCCTGGTCTTGCAGACAAGAGCCCAGGTACAGCCCAGGTAAAGTGAAATGAACCAAGTTTCAGGCTTTTTTATTTAATATTTTTTAGTTGAAGATGGACACAATACCTTTATCTTAATGTGGGCTAAAGATCGAACCCAGTGCCTCATGCATGCTAGAGGAGTGCTCTTCTCCTGACCATAACCCCAGTCACCAGTTAGTCTTTACCAAGTTACTCTTGAAGTAACTGAGGGAAAAAAGTCTTCAGCGGAATTTGGGAAATTCTGCCTCCTTTTATATGCACTGTGTACTGATTAAGAACTGTGAAGAGCTGCAGTCAGGAAACTTCAAACTCATTATCTTAGGAATTTTCTAAGATTTCCTTTCTTACAGATCTCCTTAGATGGAAAGATGGCACTGAAACAGCAGGCCCGACTGGCGCAGCCCCTCCATCCCCTGCCCAGACGGTGGCCTCCTGCCTTTACTGGGACGCAGTCTCTTCACCCCAGCACTCTCCCTTCCAACCGCTACTCCTGAAGGCAATCCTTCTACTCTCTAGGTCAGCCTGGACTCCAGCCGTGCTCCCTCTTCCCCATCACTGATGGCCTCCATGGAATCAAGATCTAGCGAGAGACACTGTTTCTACTACTTCTCTCATTTAAAAGACAATAAATCCCTCTCATGAAGCCACTCTTCCTCTCAGCTCACCTTTAAAGAGAAGCTCCCTGTATTTACTGTCTCCAATTTCCCCCTCCCATTCTCACCAGCCAGACTTTTACACCCACCACTCCACCAAAACAGCCCTCAGGAAACCCTCCAATGATACAGACCATGACCAACACTCAGCCGTCTGATGAGACGCCATTTGTGGCATCTGCAATGCCGACCACTATCACCTCAAAGCACTCTTCTCCACGGCCCCAGGATGCCCTTTCCTCATTCTCCTCCTCCAGGGGCTTGCTGGCTCAGTCCCTCTCCCCACTGGGAAGCCCATGGCTCCCTGACAGGAGCTCTTCTCTGTTTACAGGCACTCCCTGGTGATCTCATCCCGTCCTGTGGCCTTGAAATACCAACTGTGTGCTTATATAACAGCCCGCTCTTCCGACTCAGATGTCTGACTGCCTGCTGGACATCCCTGCCTGAATGTCTATCAGCCATTTCAAAGTTCAACACTCAGCCAGAACTTCGACTCTCCCAGCTTCCCCCACCCCAAACGGCCCCAACCTCCTCATACCAATATGATTATCCGACTCCTTCCTTTCCCTCACCCCAAATCCAATCCACCAGCAAAATCCTATTGGTGTTACCTTTAAGTATATTCAGAATCCACCTGTGATCAGAGCCCTGTCACAGTCGCTCCTGCCTGGAGGGCTCTTCCTCCACAGCCATTCACTCCAGCCCTTCAGGTACTTGCTCAAACGCCACCAGCGAAGCCTTTGCAATCAAACCTTGCCAAATTCCCATCCCTCCCAATCCTTTCTTTAACCACATACTTCATCACCTGTTTACTTTTGCTGCCTCTCTGTTCTAGAATATTTACTCGTGGGGATAAGGGCTTTTGCACACTTTGTTCACAGCTTTATCTCAGGAGCCTGCAACTATATCCAGCACCAGGTTCTAAATATTTTAGTGTAGACAACAGTTTTTTTTACAAGATATGGAGCTGGCTACCTCCCTCTTCCACCTCCCACTATTTCAAATTTTGGGGGAGGTCCTGGAGATCAAACCCAGGGGCGCTTCCCAAGCCTTTTAATTTAGGGACAGCGTCTTGCCAAGTTGCTAGGTGCCTCGTTAATCTGCTGAGGCTGGCTTTGAACACATAATCCTCCTGCCTCAGCCTCCCAAGTTGCTGGGAGGACAGGCGTGAGCCACCGCGCCCGGCTTGGGTATTCTGAGTAAGCCAAACTCCTCCAACTCCAAGGCCTTCACACGTATCCTCCCTCCCCTGGACATTCAGCCCCCGGGTCCCTGCATGGCTGGCTGCCCGCTTCTCTATCGCTGATACCTCCTCGGCCTTCACTGGCTGCCTTCCTAAACACCTGCACCGCCCAGGCGTCCTCACACTCCCACCCCCGCTTGTTGCGCCATGCTTCTTCACGGCACTCACCAACACCTTCCACAGGCCTCGTGTCTCATTACAGCTCACGTTCCATAGACACAGGTGTCGCCTCTTTTCCACCACTCTCTCCAACACCTAAGGACGCTGAGCACACAGCAGCATGCAACAGTCATCACCTGACTACCACGCTTGCTTAAATAGAGGGCAAAGTCATGCCTTTCAGTTTCTGAGAACTACTGAAGGACCACGAATAACCAAATGATAAATTAAAAGCAATACTTCTGTAAAAAGTACACAATGTTTACTTGTAAAAAGTACACAATGTTTACATCCATACACAACTGTGTACAGATCCACCGAAGGGAAACAGAATGGAAAGAGGAGTGGAAGGACTCTACTGCAGGAGACACGCCACGCCATTACAGACTTAGGGAAGCAGGGAGTACTGCTAAGCTCCTGACGTTCCAGAACTGGAGTCCAGAGTGGAGCTAAAATCAGAAGGCAGGCTTCCTCAAAATACCATGCTCTTCCCCTATGGCTTGGCCTCAACCAGCAAGAACAATGCAAGAATCTAATGTATCACCAAGGGGCAACACGTGCCAGAAAATGGGAAAAGGCAAAACAGGCGATTCACTTAAATACAGACAGCGGGACACATGGGTGGACACCTGTAATTCCCCAAAACTTGGGAAGTTGAGGCAGGAGGATTGCAAGTTCCAAGCCGGCCTAGGCAACTTGGTAAGACCCCATCTCAAAATATAAGAGGGGCCAAGGATATAGCTCAGGAATAGGAAGTCTCAGACCAGGTTCCCAGATCACAAGAAAAAAAAAACAGCTAGTAAAAATGGGAAAGTATATACAACCGAACTAAATGCTGATTGTTTCAATACTTGATATTTTTCCTCCACTTCACAGATTACACTGACAAAAGGCCTTTACCTGAAAACATGTATAAAATGGGTTTCAAAGGGACTGCAGGGCAACTCAGCAATCCATTTGAAAGTTTGAAACTTGTGTATCTTTTGACCCAGCAATTCTATTTCCGAAATTCCCTCTAGCTGGGGACAAAGGAGATGACTATAATGTGACGTAGAGGTTCCTAAACCTGGCTGCATATCATGAACACATACACAATCTCTTTCATCACCATGAGTAAGTGGAAGTTTCTACCTCAAACAAACTGATAGAAAGAATTAAGCCCTCAAGAAAAATCTTAATAAGTAACAAAAATGAAAGTTTGGGTATAAAAGGAAAGGAAGACAACATTCAAATAAGGCAACAGAATCATACGAAATTTTTTTCTCAAAGGCAGAGGCAATCAAGTCTGATAAAGGGAATAAAGTCAGTCAGTGAAAAGGAGAAATACTGACAACAGACACTATCCTAGAACAGAGTTCACTTACCTGGGAGAGTTATTACGGAGCCTTCAGAACATCACACACCCAGGCTCCAGTCTGACTCAGAATCTCCAAGAAGAGAGGCACAGGAACTTAAAAGCCGCCCAGGTAAGGCTGGGGGTGGAGCTCAGCGGCCACCCAGGCTCAGCACACTGGAGGCCCGGGGATGAATTCCCAGCACGTGGAAAAAAAAAATCCCTCCCAGATGCTGCTCCTAATCATCCCACGTGGAAAAAAAAAAAAAATCCCTCCCAGATGCTGCCCCTAATCATCCCACGTGGAAAAAAAAAAAAAAATCCCTCCCAGATGCTGCCCCTAATCATCCCTAACTGAGAACCACAGCAAGGCAAGCACACTCCCATAATCCTAGCTGCTTAGGAGGCTGAGGCAGGGGGATCTTGAGTTCAAAGCCAGCCTCAGCAACTTAGAGAGGCTCTAAGCAACTCGGTAAAAAACTGTCTCTAACTATTTAAAATATAAAAATAGGCTGAGGACGTTTCTCAGTGGCTAAGCACCCCAGGTTCAATCCCTGGTACCAAAAAAAAAAAAAAAAAAAAAAACCCACACAGCTCTCCTTCAGCAATGGTAGAAGCCCTTTGAGTGTTCATTCTAGCCACCTGAGTAGCTTTTGAAAATTAGCAACAACTTGTGTTTAATCCCCAGCACCAATAAAAAAGACAAAAAGAAAATTACCAACAACTAAGCCCAAGACATGTCCCGAGGTTCAGGGAGGGGTTTTATGGAGTAGAGGAGAACACAAAGTGAACAGGCAGCACCTGGCCCCCTGCCCGATTTCAGGCAAATCCTTTCTAAGGATAAGCCCAGATCAGTGGTGCACACCTGCCATCCCATCGACAGAGGATGAAGCAGGAGGATCGCCAAACAACCCAAATTATAAACTACCCAAAATAAATTATAGGCGAAGGATCTGAGCAGACATTTCCCCAAAAAAAAAAGATACACAAATGGCTGATAAACACATGAAAATATGGTAATCCCGTTAGCCACTAGGCAAATTAAAACCACAATGATCAACCACTTGGAATAAAATGAACAGATTAACAATATTGTCAACACTTGAGTAAGATCACCCAGAGAGAAAAACAGAGGTAGAAGGGGTACAGAAACAAACCTCAAGGAACTCCAAATTTCACTGTCAAGCAGAGCAAAATGAGCCTATAAGAGAAACCAAGCAGCAGCTACCAAAGAAGGTAAGCATGCCACAGATGGCAAAAGAAGAGAACATGTGAAGGAGGTGAATATGGTCAACACTGTTGAATAAAAATGAAAGACTAAAATAAATGAAAATGTCCCTTGGACTTAGTGATATAGAAATCATCGTGTTTTCATGAAATGATGGTAAATTACTAAGAAATTGGGCTACCTTTCTGCACTGCTAATGTGCAATATGGCACTCAAACATAAAAGATTCAGAGTAAATCAGTACCTTAATTATTTGCAATTAGTCTCAAGTCCTCTTGAAAGATGAGTCTGGAAAATAAAAACTGATTAGAAAATGCAAGTCCTCAATACGCTCACAAAACCACTGTAAGGACTCTTCAAAACTACCTAAAAGGAATCACGCTGCCTAGGAAGGCCTTCTGTACAGCGGGGTTAATGAAGCTGCACGCCTGGCTTGCTGCTTACAGAGGCTGCCTGTGCAGACACCTGCCTACCTGCGAGCCGCCGACATCTGGCCCTCTGACAAGATGCTACCCACTGCTGCAAGACCTCGGGCGGTCGCAGTAACCCACAGCTACACACAGGAAGCAGGTACCGACCAGGCGTGCAGATCGCCTTCCAGATCACACCAAGGAGACGTGTCCCGAGGTTGGGGGGTGGGTGGGTATGGAGTAAAGGACACAAAGTGAACAGGCGGTACCTAGCCCTCTGCCCGACTGAGTCCAAATCCTTACTAAGGATAAGCCCAGATCAGTGGCGCACACCTGTCATCCCCGCGACAGAGGCTGAGGCAGGAGGATCGCCAAGTTCAAGGCCAGACTTGCAGTTTGGCGAGGCCCCGTCTCACCGTAGGAAACGGACAGGCTGGGCTGGGGCTCCGGGGGAGCACCCGGGTGTCGACTCCGGTCCCTGGCGGGTCAGCCGGACACCTGCGAACGTCCCGTCGCCCACGAATCAGCCACGCAGACAGTGGGAGGACAAATGAAGCAGGCCAACTGCGGACCCGGGATCTAGATGGCCAGACGCGCCGGCCACGGCTGCAGCCAAAGACCCGATCCCCGCCGACCCCGATCCCAGCTGGTGGCAGAGACTGAGAGCGATCGGCGCGACCACGACAACCGCGGAAACGAGGCTCTGCCACAGAAGTGGTGCAGGTCACATTCTGACCTCAGTAGGGAATAACACACCTTTCCAAAGTGGGGGAAATCTACCCGCCGCTTTTCCGGAAACTGCACGGGCTTTACAAGGAGCGCGCCATGACACTTACGTCCCGCCACGTTTATGTACGCATGCTCGGCGACGGTGGCCCTGAGAGGTCAAACTGCGTCACTGCTGAAAGCGCGACTCCCGGTTGAACTCTATTTAGTAATGCTTGACTTTCCAGTTCCTTTGGTTGCAAGAGCCAAAATAAGTCCCCAAGTCCTCAGAGTTCTTAGAATCGCCGACTGACTTAACTCCCGAGCTCTTGTAACTTGTCAGGAACTCTGCGAAGCACTTTACATAAACATTATCTCTCAATTTATTTATTATTAGTGTTCCTGGCTTACACCCACAGTTCCTCTACCAGAGTGATGGCTCCCTAGGCCCAATCCACTTCTGACTCCCAGAGAAACTGCTGTCCTCACTGTATTTTGGTAGTTTTCCCAAACTTTGGTAGGAAGGATAAAGAAGAGTTGGAAGATTAAATCTAATATGAATCATTTAACACCCAAGCAAGGGTTGAGAGGTTTTGTTTTGGTTATCTTTTGGTTTTGTTTTGGTTTCTTTACTTAGAAGGCAGTTCCTACGTCCCTCCAATGGAGTGTACTGATTCTGACCTTTATATAAGTTATCTCACTTCATTAGTATTTGCCCAAGACAGTATATTTATTCGACTTTGTTTACCAGAAAAGTTTCTCCAGCTTAAAAAGTGGAGGAAGCAGACTGTTAACAGGAGTCAGAAATCGTGTCCTCTGCCCCACTTTGAGTATCATCACGATTTGAGGCAGTTATTTTGCAAATGTCTCTCCTAGTACGTCTTTCCTAGTATTCCTCATCTACTCCAAATGCCACCTTTTGCTCATCCATGCCCACAAGACAATTGTGACTTGGGACCCACCTGTAGCCCTTACCTGCTAGAATTATGCATGTGTAAATTACTCTGGTTCTTTCATTACACCAAAAGTGGGCACTGGCTTATCTTGGTTGTAATTCCACTGCCTAGCACATAACCTTGAATTTATAGCCTCTCAATAAATATTTGTTGAATGAATGAATGAATGAATGATTCTACTTCTTTTCCCCAAGATCTAATTGAATTAGGTTAAAAAAAAATTGTACTGAGTGTGCGCCCCCTAACTGCAAGCACTGTGATAGGCTTTGGAGCTACAGAGAAAGAAAGAGACTTCCATGGTGGTTGTAGGCTACTGGGAAGAAGCAGTTTTGGTAGAGAGTGGCAATCACTGTGAAAGAGGAGCGCACAGGACAAAGGTGTAGTGAGGGAGATAGGCAGATTCACTCCAGGATGGGGGAGAGCAAACCCAAGGAGGCCTGGAACTGTGGACGGTTCAACACTGTAAAACAGAACAAGTGAGACAGGAGAGGTCAGCTGGAGAGGGGCAGTGCAGGAACAGATTCAGGTGAACCTTGTGCAGTAAACCATGAACATTAGCCCTAGTCATGGATTTATTAGGCAGCATGCAGTATCTGAGCAAATTATTATCTCAGGAGAACAGGTTTGAGGACAGTACTTCAGGCACAGAGGAATAGCGAAGGCCTAAAGTGGGCTGTTAACTGTGAGGAGTGGAGAGGGAGGATGGACCAGGAGAGCTACTGAGGAGGTAGAATCAGCGAGACTTAGTGATCTCTGGTTGTAAAAGGAGAAGACGCAAGAATGTCTCCAGGTTTTTGGCTGAAGCAACCAACACAGATTCCTCCTCCACGAAATCTGCTCTTCAGATACTTTTAGTCTAAATCATTTGAAAAGCCAGGGACCCTGCCTCTAGGAATCTATCTTACAGAAATGACATATGTTCCAAGTGTTTTTGAAGCATCTCTTATAATAGCAAGAGTAGAAACCCTCTCCAGCTCCTCAACAGAGGATTGCCTACATGCATTTATAGTATCTGCACAGCTGTTGGGAAAGAATGAGATGCTTTTAATGTGCGACACAAAATAATTTCTTAAATGGAAAAAGCAACTTGCAAGAAAGGGAGTGCAGGGTTGTATATAGTAATTGGAGTAAATATATGCATTATTTCTGGCAGGATATATAAGTAACTGGGTATGGGGTTGTCCCTGAGATAAAGCACTAAGAGAACAAGGTAGCTCAGAGGAAATGTTCTTTTCCTTACTTTATCATTTCGTACCTTTTATGTTTTGCAAATGTGTTATTTATCCAAAAAGTGAATTATAAAAAAACAGATTTTATAAGAAAAATTAAAATAACATTTGATAGTTTATCTGTTGTATTGTAATATTATTCAACAATTATTTTGAGATTTAACTTTACAGTGATATTTAAGTTTTAAATCTCCAATTCGGTGAGATAAATTTAACATAAAATTTATCATTTTAATTATGTTAAGTAGGCAATTCGGTGCCATTAAGTACGTTCATTTTTGTGTAACCCTCACCACCATCCGTCTCTGGAACTTCATCTCCCCACCCTTCTTATTTCTCCCTCTCCCCAACTACTGGCAAGTGCCCTTCTGCTACCTGTTTCTATGAACTTGACTACTCTAGGTGATTCATATAACTGGACTTGAACACTATTTGTCCTTTTGCAACTGATTTATTGCACTCAGTCTAATACCTGTGAGGTTCGTTCATGGAACATGTCAGAATGTCCGTCCTTTTTAAGGCTGAATAATATTCCATTGCAGGTATAGACTACATTTTGTTTAATCAATTTTAAACTTTCATGCTTTATTTCTCAAATCAGATTATAAAATAGATACACCAAAAATAATACACCTCATTTTATCGTTGTTTTCTCAGCCCACAATTTTACACTAATGCTTACTAAATGTTTAGCAGTGGGCAAGCCAGAATAGACAAAGACACATTAAAATGCAAATGAACCTATAAAATAATGGGGAAAGCTAAATTTGGGGAGCACTTTTAAATGTGTGCCGGTAACCATGTTAAGCCCTCTTTGCGGATTACCATCCTTACACTCTCTAGAGCTCTGAAGTAGCCCTACTTAGGTCTAGTTCTTATATCAGGAATACTGTCTTCTTAGCATCCTCTCTCTTAGGCTGTGCTGTCAATTGTTTTAACAATTTCAATTGTTTTAACAATTCTATGTGAGTACTTCACAAGAAGCTGTGTACTTCCATTAACAGTAATGAAAAATTTCAAATAAAAAAAAATATTGGCAAGAAAACAGAAAGGAATTATAGAGAATGTGTGGAATAAAACCCATATGCCTTCAGAATGATCTGATATTTTATATTAGTCTGACAATGAAAATTGAAGGGAATTGTGAGCAATAATAAAATTAGAGAATCCTTACTATCTCAGACATGAATCAAGCAAGAATAAAATAAGAAAAAATTTAAAGTAGGAACATGTATTTAGATTTTGCTTATGATTTGAGCAATTAGCCATTGTACTTATGAATGTATGTCAATCGATATCCTTTTATGATGAATAATTCATGTGTTTAATTCACTATTGAAAAATGATTTTTTAAAAGTTAACATGAAATTTTCAGTGTGGAATATTAGATACACAGTAGAATAAGATTTAAAATAGGTTAATCTAGTTCTTCTGTCAGAGATGGAAAGAGTAATAATGCTGTTGTTAAAGTTCAGTAAGTCACTGTGCATGCGCAAGTATATTGTTATTTATATTAGCTTTTCATTGCATATGACAAAAATCCAGCCCTAATGTTTTTTCCATGCTAGAGACAGACCCAAGTAGGCTATCACTGAGCCACATGCTACCACCCAGCTCCAATTTTTCTTATGTAAGAGGTGAGCTTGGCACATGTCAATCAGTGGTACATTACATAGTGATTTGAATTCAATCTAATAAATTGGGAGTCAGAATAAAGTTCCTCACCTGGACACCATACAACTAAAGTAGTTTTTCTAGGAGGATTTATCAAGTGTGTTACACAAATCCAAGAAGAAAGATGTTGATGGTAAAGACAGAAGAAAATAAAGAAGAATGTAATAGCTAGGTCAAAAGAAAAATGAATGAAATGGATGAATGTGTCAATGTGGAGGGTAAAAGAGAAGGCTGCTGCTGTTCCTAAATAAACTGATGGAAGGTAATAGAAAAGCTTGACATGAAATCGCCTCCTTTGTATGTGCGCCAAGTATGCTCCTTGTAATGTGACCACTAGGGGTCAGAGTGCTATATTTCTAATATCAGCCATCCTATCAGTTTATGCAAACCTGACTGGTTCAATTCCATAATTAATTCTATCTTTCACTCTCCCACTCTCAGTACAAGTGGTGTAGAGGCTGGACAAGTGGCCCGTGGCCCAGGACCTTGCAATGAGAGCACCACATTCTCTTGCCAGAGGGCATGTAACCCACACCAGACCAGAGCACATTCTGGGCTCCGCATCAACTGCAAGAATCCGAGGCTGAAGTTTCCAGGCCTGCATGAGGAGGACTGATGCCTGACACCAAAGCTGTTTCAGAGGAAAGCAGGGGTGACCACGAGAGAGAGGTCAGCGAGTTCCAAAGGCGACCCACCACGGCCTCTGTACCCGGCGTACCCGGAGCTGAGCGCTTCAGTTTTGTGAATAAAAGTCTCCACTTTTCTTCCCTTAAGCTAATTAAAGTGGGTTTTTATGATTTTCAACCAAAAGAGTTCTGGCTAAAGCTCCTATTCTCTCAAAGATTAAAAATAACAATATGAGTCAGGTGCAGTGGTGCACGCCTGTAATCCCAGTGGCTCTGGAGGCTGAGGCAGGAGGATCCCAAGTTCAAAGCTGGCATTAGCAACTTAGCAAGGCCCTAAGCAACTTAGCAAGGCCATGTCTCTAAATAAAAGATAAAAAGGGTTGGGGAAGTGGCTTAGCAGTTAAGTGGTTAATCCCTGGAATAATAATAATTTGAATCTGTTGTCTAACTCTCTAATTGCTTATAAGTGTCAGTGGGAAACATGTTTTCTCTATCCTTCTGCAATGCATGACTCAATATATAACAAATTCGTTA